AAAATCAATAGGTTTTTGTCTTTTTAAAAAACAGTCATAAGCAATAAAATGTAAAGCAAACGTTGAAAATCAGACTTGTTAACCTGGTCTTTATTTTCAGTGGATTTCTGTGTTGTGTCAGCTGTCTGAGGGTCTAAGCAGAACCTTGGCAATACGGCCCTTTAATGATGCTATAGAGGAGGAAATACATTACCCCTCTGGCCCCACTGGAATAGTAACACTATGCCAACCCAGAGACTAATAACAAATCCACCTGTCTACACCAAGTGGCAACCTCCTGGGCTGAAAAATGGAACCGGTGAAGTGGCAAAAAATCGTCAAATGACCACTGAAGGCTGTTGAAAAAAGAAAGTTATAGACTCCCATGTTGAGACACCCATTTATAGCAGAAATAAACATGTTTAAGACCAGCTACAAAAAACTTTTATGTCCCTATAACTGATATCTTAAAAGCTTGCATTAATAGGGGTGTTACAGCTGCTATCTGTCTGCTAGGATTTGCCAAAACTAATTCATATCAGTGAACTGAACTTAATTGTATTTGTTTTGTTGGTGGCATTAGGAGTAAATGCTCCCATTTTATAATAGTTACTTAGCACCAGGTATCTCTCAAACAGTCTATGGTTGCTAGTGTTGGCCACAGACTGAATATAAGTGATGGACACAGTGTTTGGGTCTGAAACGTGAAGACAAAGCGCGAGGGCTTTAAACCTGGATCCTCTGCATTGGCCGACTGGGTGACTCTGGTTAGTTCTACAGTTAAACAACCCTTAGATCCATTGATCTGCGATCTCTGCAGACACTTTCCTGATGACATCATGGGTTCGATTGCTAATCTTACTTCTTAGGACAAACATGATGATGATTTCGTAAACTGTTGTTCCCATTAGAGTCAGAATTGATCATGCAGTCTTACTCAGACAGCTCCACTCCTCGTTTGTGATGTCTGGTTTCAAAAGACCAATTGGGTAACACTCTCCAGTCAAGGCATGAAAATGGGTGAAGTTACAGTGGCTTTGCTCATCTTTTATATACAGTCTGTAGGCTACGCTGATCTGATAAGTTGATTTTGGTTTTATTGTTAAAAATTATGTAACATTTTTAAGACACTAAAAGTGAGTGTGATCTTTAAAAAAGGCATATATCGTGCTATTTAAAGCCTTCAATTTGCTGTAAGCACCATGAATCTGCAAGGCTAAAGTAGCTAATAAGATTTTAAAAACTCTCTTGTTGGTCTGTAAGCTTGACTTCTTTGTTAGGGGCCTTTTGTCCTGAGTGCAGTCTTCATGAACTCAAACACATGATCAGCTGGATTGAGATCAGCTGACTGACTTGGCCAGTGAAGAGTTGTTTGTTGCTGTTTTGGCAAACAGGAAACTGCTTAGCTGCCTTGCCTGTAAGTTTACAGCATCTCTTAACGCTGTCCACCTAATATGAGCGCCTTTAAAAGTAAACACTTTTGTTTCAGAGTTTTGTTTCAGTATAATCTACTCGACTCATCCTTCAGTCTTGTATTACCTGTAGTATATATGGACCAGGTTGTTGTATCATCCTGTGCAGATAACTGCTCATTTCCTCAGCTGTGACAGTGTGGGAGCAAGTGCATCGCTGCTGTAGTGTGCTGAGTCACAGGAGGGTGTTGGACCATTGTTTCAGCCTGCGGGGATCATTACCTGGCTATGATGCTGAGGCTCAGCAGACAAGTCGGAGCTCGTCACGTTAGTCATGTTAATGATCGCCGTGCAAAAATCTTTAATATAAATAACTCGGCATGTTTCATCGTGAAGCAAAAGCTGTTGTTTAAACTGAAGAAGAAATCCTAAGGGTCTAAAACTGAATCTTAAGATATTAGAGAAGTGGCAGCGAGTCTTGTAGCTTTTAATCACAAGCACACAAACACCTACATACTCTATGTTCCACACCACTCACTCAAACAGTCATCCACATTTTCCCTGAGGACATGTCTACAATCAGAGCGGAAGATTAAAGAGACTCGTATCTCACAGTCGCTCATTCTCTGTGCTACCGAAGCGAGAGTAACTAATCACTTGGAGGCGTTGCACAGGAAGAGATAGCCTAAGTCATCAACAGAGATACAGTCACTGCCATTCATACTAGAGAGGCCAGTGTCAGGGTGGTGGTGGGACAGACAGTGCTTTTTGTTGTTGTTGTTGTCACGAAATTCCATGAAAAGAGCCAAATAAGGGAAACTTATCACATCAGTCTTCTGATTCTTCTGCTCCCGTTCATTCCGTTTCATTTACATTTGTATTTCCTTGAAATTACCAGATTGAATAAAGGATTTATAACAAAAGAGGTCAAAAACGTATTCAGTTCATGTCATTTTCCAAAACGGTTAGATGCTCTAGTTTTTTAGTAAACGTCACTCACCCAGAAGACTTCAGACTAGCCTGAGGAATTCTGATTGAAAATGTTGTAAACAACATTATGTGCCCTGCGTATGTATATTAAATGCAAGGTCTGCAGTTTCTGTCACTTGAGGCGTTTTCACAAATGTACTGCAACCCACACATTAAGGAGTTGATGTACGAAAACGCACTGATCAAAATGAAAGGATGTGACGCTGCAGCGGTTAGCATCATATCCTCACAGAGATGGTTATGGGTTCAAATCCCCCAGCCGACTGAAGCCTTGCTCGGTGGAGTTTGCATTTTCTCTCAGCCTACCTGAGTTCTCTCTGGGTCTCAGGCTTCCTCCCGCAGGTTAAAGACAAGCAAATTAGGTTAACTGGTGATTCTAAATAGGCCATAGATGTGAATGTGAATGGCTGTCTGTCTCTATGTGTTCGCCCTGTGACGAACTAGCAGCCTCTCCTGGCTCTTAGCCACTGAGCTGGGAGAGCTTCCAGCCCACCCATGACCCTGAAGGGAAAAACAGTTAAGAATATCGATGGCTGGAATGGATGAAAATAAAAAAAATAAATTCTATATAAAGAAAATTATTATTATTATCTTTTTGTGATTTTTGCTAACAATAATGAAAATACACATATTAGCTAGTTGGCGATGTTGGTGTCTGCATTTATAACAGCTGATAAGATAATAATTACACCTCATACACTCCCCTTCTGGTTGTCTGTCTATGTATGATCCCCCGGCACTACAGCCTGTTTGTTCTCGTTTTTCTGTCCCACCCAGCTTCCCTTTTTCAATTCATTGACTTCTCATTACGGTTAGTAGATGGGGATCTGCTCAGGAGCCACCACCAGTCCCCAAATTGCGGCCTCAATTCATGCTTACGCCATCTGCCATTATCTACTAGGAATGCTGTCTAACCTAATTGAGGATGTGGTCCCAGCTAGTGAAATGACAATCTAAAAAAAAGTAAAGAGATGTGAGAAACACCCTTCAGCTATGTAATGAGGGCTGTCGTTGCATAGTTTATCCACCAGAAGGCACTCTGCTAAAACGAGCCGAGTTAAGCAGAACTGTTTTAACAGTAGAACAAGTTTATTTTTTATACAGCATTGACATTTCATCTTAGTAAGGACTCATAACTAGTCATGTTAGGGAAATATGCTTTATCTCTTTAAAGATAAAAAAGTTTTAAGCTGACTGTTACTGACTGATTGCTCGGTGTTGTCATCGCTGCGGCCGACTGTCAGGCTCATGTTCTTTTGTCTCTCACCCGCAGCCATTCGAGGCCAGTGACCTGCTGCTGGGACTGAACTTCTCCAAAGTGCTCAGCAGTTTGGTTACTCTGAATAAAGTGACTGCAGGTCAGTTAAAAATGTGCAGTGTGTGTGTGAGAGTGTCATTATGGACGTGGGAGTAGTCATGAGGCTGATTTATATTTCCCCGCTCTTGCGCAGATATCGGTGTGGGCAGCGATTCGGTGTGTGCCCGACACTCTTCAGCCCACCGCATCAAGTCGTTCGAGTCGCTGTCCTCTCAGGCTTCACTGGCCCGATCCTCCAAGCTGCTGCAGAACCAGTTTCGCAGCCTGGTAAGGTCAACACGTGCTTCTGCCCCGTATTGACTCAGATTTGGTGGATATGTGTCAAAGGCATATGTTATTTATCATTACAGCTCTAACACTCTAGAGAACATAAATAAAACACTTAACATTTAACTTCTGATGTGTCACAAACAGTCTGTTCTTAACCTTTTTTTCTGCTCACTGGTTTCTGGTCCAAACACATGACTCCAGTATTACATGCTGCCATTGTGAAAAGTGCTTTTATAGTGCCTGAGCAGAGTTTGCTGCAGGCAAATGACTCAGGGGTTGATGGAGGCAGCAGCAAATTTGCATGTCATCCTCATACACGGAAAGAGGCGTACAGTTACACCTAAGCCATTTTAAAGCATAAAGGGAACATAGTCCTGGAAGAAAAATCCAATTAGTCTAAAAAGTATTTGATGATGATAATGATGATGAATAGGGATGGGTATTGATAAGATTTTCACGATTCCGATTCCATTTTCGATTCTGTTTAAC